GTGGAATCCAGAGTGGTAGGAGATTGCCAGCGGGATACCTAGCGGCTATACTGTTCAGAATCGTCCTGATTTACTTGCGTGGGTTTGGCAGCTAAACCCGTTGAAGGATTTGGATGAGAGAGTACTCGGCCGCGTCCAAGCTCGCATTTACGTTGTTAAATGCTAAAACGTGAGGCCTCCCGCACGCTTATATCTTGATAGTTTTGGCGGGCGAAGCCGAGCGCCGGACACGAGATATTATCGACAAAAATGATTTATGTGGAGATTCCCGATGAAGTCAGCAACCCAGATTTATACAAGACAGTAATGACGTGCTTAATACATGGTCCATGTGGACACTTAAATCCCCTGTGCACCTGCATGAAGGACGGCAAGTGCTCCAAGGGATTCTCGAAACCTTTGGCGGCGATTACTCGAGCAAGTGTTGATGGGTGTCCGGTCTACAGGCGTCGCCGGCGGTCGGGAGGGTGTATTATACTTTCGAGGTAGGAAGTATGATATCGCAACGGCGAGCCAGTGGGCTGTACCTTACAGCCCGTACTCTTCGCAGAAGTACAGCTGTCACATTAGCGTGGAGATTCGCACGGCTATCACGGCTGTCAAGTATCTATTCAAATCTGTGAGCAAGGGATCCGACAAGGTAGTACTGACGGCTGAAGCCGTGAGGGGGGATGGTGAGCAGATGGGTAGACGGCGCTACAAGTCAAATGAGGTATAACACTATCGTAACGCACGATACATATCTCCTGTTAAAGCTTGCATGCGGCTTCTCGTCTTTACCGCTCATGGGAAGAGCCATTCTGGCGTGCAGCTCACAGTGCATCTGGAAGAGTGGCAGACGATTGCCTTATGGTCCAGCGACAGATCTAAACTGTTCTTGCGAATGGCGAGCACACGATGCTTACTCGATTCCTCGATTTTTGTGCTAGCGACGCCCTGGAAAATCAAATCGCAAAATCAATGCTCTACCAGAAGATACTGAAAAGTTTACTTGGAATGTTTAACAATGGACCCGCTGTACCAAATTCCAAGTAACGCTAGGAAGACTGATTCACGTGTCTCTTTGGGATGCTGAGCGGTTTTCTCCGTGTGAAGCTGTGTCATCGCAAAGGTCCTACTTCATTCGAAGTTTTAAGGACGGTAGGTTGCGCTGTTTACCCGAAATATGAGACTACCGCCCTGCACGCCGGCTATCTTCAAAATGACGAAGCGTGGGTCGCGTGTATGACCGAGGCTGCTGCGTATCAAATGCCCTACCAGCTTCGCCAGTTGTTTGCTACGCTTTTGGTGTACTCAATGTATATCAGTGCTCGCGGTTTGTGGGACCAGTTTTACAAGGATTTGTCTGAGGACTCTCTATACAGATACCGCTACATGCTCCATTCAATTCGGGACGCCGTTGCTATCTTTGAGACGGTAAAACTATTACCGACCTTTTGCGAGTTAGCCGGTACTCCATTTAGGAATATGACCTTCCTCGACTCAGCAATCATCCAAGGTTAGTACTCCAGTCTCTTCAGGACAGCTCGCACTTTTGCCGCGAGCTAACAGGATACGACCGGCTACGTTGGATAAAATTGTGCGTGCTGAAAGTCGACTCAATGCTGGGCAGCAAGTAATCTGTGATCAAATTACTGTCACAGTAAGCGATCCAGTGGTTGGCAAAAAGCTGTTCTTCATTGACGAACCTGGGGGCAGGTAAATCCATCCTACTTCGACACAGTCTGGTAAGGATGCCGCTCGACGGCTAAATCGTTCTAGCAGTAGCGTCTAGTGGGATTGTGGCACATTCCGCCTTTAAGATACCACTTAAGTTAGACAAGGACTCGACTTGCTCTATAATTAAGCGGTCACATTTCCAAAACTTGATCGAGAAGGCGAATTTGGTAAAACCCCGGTGGCTCATCGGCACGCATTTAAAGCCGTTGATCGGACGCTACGAGACATCTTGAGCAACCCCCGCGAGCCTTTTGAGGTAAGGTGTTTGTTCTTTCTGGCGATTTTTGCAACTTCTTTAGGTGGCGAAGAGAGGCACGCTTGCGGAAACAAGTGATGCCTGTCTAAAGTTATCCGACATTTGGTCTCATTTCCAAGAAGTGCGGCGTTGAGATGGCATGTGCGTCCAAACAGCGGATAACATGACAAGCACTGAAGACATGATCAATTTTCAGAGTTCTTGCTGACGGTCGGAGAAGGGAGACACGAAATCGACCGGGCTTGGGCTGAGGGTTCATGAAACTACCCCGCGACATGCTACTGAATAACCCTACGGACGAGCCAGAGGAAGATGCTGATATTGCGCCTGGTGAGATTCTTAAAGGATTGGCCAAAATGAGTATGATGTGAACGATCCTGATGTCGCTACAGACATGTACTTTGCAAACCGCGCAATCTTGATGACAGCTAAAACTTTTGTCCAACGCATTAACGAGGCGGTTTCGGGTCGACTTCGAGTGACCGCTCGTGAATACGTATCTGCTGACTCTATCGAAGACGATGACGGGAAGTTTCTTTAGAACAAAAGTTTCTTCATTCCGTAAACATTTAGTAGCGGTACGCGCCTGAATATCGTTGACCTAATGCCACATATTATTCATGCTACAATCATGAATGGAGAGCGGCGGGGTCAGCATGTTCTAATTTCGCGGATTGCTTTTGCTAGCGACGAAGATGCTCGAGGGCTTTCTTTTTGCCTACGTCGAATGCAGCTCCCTGTACAGCCAGCTTTTGCAATGACAATCAACGCGGCCCAAGGTCAAACCGCTCTACATCTAGGGCTATATCTCGCTGCACCATGTTTGGCACATGGCCAGTTGTACGTCGCCCTATCAAGGGCTACATCACGCTCAAAATTTCAAGCACTCATTAACTATCCGGAAATGAGGTAGAAGATGGAGTCTACACAAGAAATGTCGTTTTTCGACAAGTTCTTAGCATCATCTAAACATACCTTTTAGCATTTTACTTCGTTCTGTTCTTAAACAATTTAAATGAAAAATGTAAAACATGAGGCAGCGGTTTTGGAGCGACGAATAAGCTAAAAAAAAAACTTAAGTGTCGTTCTTAATCAGGATCGCGATTCCATGAGATAAGGTCTTCACTTCGAAAAATGCAGTCGGAGCGCTGATCCGGAGGCTCGGCGACAGCAACACGAACGAGAGATACGAGTAGGTAAAGATGGCGGACCCTCCCTTGGTGCGCATCCTCCATCCATCTTGGTGCGAGCATTGTGGTGACTGTGATGCGATCCGGCCATCGGATCGCGCTGATTGTGTCATCATCAAAATTATCTAAGCCAAAGGGTAAAATTGATCAATTGGGGAGTAGAATTTGAGATCACGATCCCGGCTAGGAATCGCCCTAAGGGTGATCAAACAAAACCTTCCGCTGCGTATCGGCGGCGCTCGGATAGTACCACATCTCAACTAACGCCGTCTTTCACACGGAGAAACTCTGGGTTCTATGCGCAAAACACTCGAATAACCATGCGAGCTAAATGGTTGTGCACCGTCTCGGGAGCTGATTGTAAAGACGAGTGCCTCTAATAAGAATCGAAATCAAGAGGCCAGTGTGCATATATAAAGTTTTATTGAATCATCGTTTAGCAATTGAAACTCTCTTTGATGGAATTTTAATTTCTACAAAGAGACCACATATAGATGTATTTCACCCAATTTTTTTCAAGCAACATTTATTGGGTGATTGGGTTTCGATGTTACCCGTGGCAACATTCCACCGGATATTGCTTAAAAGAGGTCAGCCAATCTATTTTAGTACCAAATTTATTTACGAGATACGCTTAAGAGGGTATCATTACATTTTCTGTGATTTAAGAAATGAATCTAGTGATAACAGGTCAACCAATATATACATGTAGAGGACCGAAGAGGCTTTTTTCAGAACGACTTTATACTCATTTTATAAATAGTAAGAGGTTTTGTTTTGATTGCAGAATAGGTTTGATTGGTTGCTTGCAGCCATCTTCCTCCTCAATAGCGCTGTATGATTGGCTAAATATTATCTGTGGATTTATCGCACGTCTTTGTTGCGCGGTAGGTCCGAGCTGCTGCTGATTGGAACATTTAATAGTGTCCTGCAAAAAGCCGCGAGATACTTACTGAGAATACATTGTACTACATATATGTATGTTGTAAATTGTCCATTCGGAAGTTGGCTTTGAAGATCAAGCGCCGCTGTGGCTCGTGCATGCAACTGGAAATGGTCTGCTCTCATTCGGGTCAAGTTTTAGTAAGTTGGCTATTAATAATAAAATGAAGCCTCTTGCACAAAGCGATCTCTATCGTGCAAATCTCTGCAGCAACCAGGGCGAGCTGATTCTCGCTACTATTATAGTGAGTCGCTATTTCATGAACATGAAAACGTATTACTATTAATAGCGACTCGCTAGCCGTGATCCAATTCCAATTCAGTGGCTACAGTATCCGCCATTAAATACCTCGACGCAACCACCTCGAGGGTTGAAGTCTAGCATGTAAATGGGTAGACCGAACGCCAGTGGAAAGATGCAGTCTTACGCCACACGGCAAAACTTCTGGGAATTTCGCTCCAACAACTCCATTGTTAGCAGTTCAACAAGCCCGGCAACGCTTCACCGAAAACGCCCGCTGGGGACATCAGCGACTCGCCGACCTGGCACCATCGAAAGGCGACAGGCGCGACGCGGCAAATATTGCCTTCGTCAATGCAGCTCGCGGCGTCAATGTGGACTCGCTGCGGTTACACCTCCGTCGTCATTGGAGTGGGTTCCCTCGGGCCTGTCTCCAAATACGTAGTCTCAGCTAAACAAGCGGCTCTTCTGCGGGCTGACGTCCAGCAGCTCTTCGATATTTTTCCTTCTTGGTCCAGCAGCGGCGTTTCAGTCTCCCTCTTGCAAGATATCGGGCACGCCGAAAGGCAGCTCCAGACCCTCATTCCCTCTTCGGCAGCGTCGAGACCGCACACTCGACAATCTCTTCCGACACCAATTGGCCGCTCTTTCGATGGGCCTGGTAGACCACATGAGTGAGAACGTAAGCAACAATGGTCAACAGAGCTGGCGCCAGTGGGGAACCAGACCACGAACCTCCCATGGACGGGAAGCCCGATCTTCCGGACGTGAGCTGTGCCGGTAGCGTTGAGCCGCTCCCGGCACCGACATCGCTGCCGGCGTCGAGCGGCGTGCCCAGCAACGTGCTGGTGCCGCTTAACCACCACAACCAGCTCACGCGCTTCATGGCCAAGCAGACACTTGGCTACATTCCAAAGCTCAGTGTGCGCAGTCCTGAGCGTAGTATGTCGCCGCCCAGCGCTGTCTATGGCGGCATGTCACGCGATACCGGTGTCTTTAACTTCGAGAGCCCGCGCGCCAGCATCGTGCGGTCGCCGTCCTTCCGGCTTCCGAGCATCGGCACGCCACCGCTGTCGCCTCAGAAGTGGGCGGGCCCATCCCCTTTCTCCAGTCAAGACGATGAGATCAGCCGACCCAGTCTGCCGGCATTGAACCAAAATGCCGGTAGTTTTATCCAGCGTTCCGGTAGCTTCTCCGAGACCATCCCACCGCTGAAGCGGCCACACCAGGAGACCACCCACCACGTCATGTCCATCGCCGATCTATGTCAACCCTTCCAGTACGTTCGCGCCTCGTCCTGTCCGTCTGACACGAACCCAGGCGCACCGCGATCCAACCCCGCGACGCCACCGCAAGAGAACGTGCCGCTACTCGCCGTCGAGCAGAGCTGGAAACCGGCCATTGAGCCGCAGGCCTACATCCGCACCCAGTCATGCAGTAGCGACGCCGACACGTTACGCGGCAGTCTGCCGCACCGCTCGGAGGAAATGCAGCACAATCGGCTGGAGCGTAGCAGCTCCATGGACGCGCCCACGCTCATGCGCCACCTCAAGCGTACGGCGGCCGAGTCAATCGACTTGACTCAGTGGCTCGACCGTCCGTGCCGTAGCTCGCTGAGCTCACTGGCTGACTCGGCCGACTCCATGCACCAGCTGGAGCAAGCCGGTCGATCCATGCGTATCTCGGACTCGCCGCGTGCGGATCACGTGGCATCACTCGACTCATGCCATGAGGCCAAGCGCGAGAAGAAGCTGTGTGCCTTCCCGCAGTGCTCCAGCAACGCCGTGACGCGCGGTCTTTGTATCAGTCACGGAGGAGGACGCCGATGCCAACGCAAAGGCTGCACGCGCGGGGCTCAGAGCAAGGGGCTCTGCGTGGCTCATGGCGGTGGCCGTATCTGTCGCGCTGCTGGGTGCTCCAACATCCAGCGCAGCATGGGGATGTGCATCCGCCACGGCGGTGGTAGACGCTGTAGCGTCAAGGGCTGCCAGAAAGGCGTGGTGCGGCAGGACCTGTGGCACAGGTCCTGTGCACGGCTCACGGCGGCAAGCGCAAGTGTCGCGTGCTTGAATGCACCAAGCACGTCAAGAAGAAAGGGCTGTGCCGATCGCATGCTAACTCCATGTATGCAACCTTGGGCCCGCAGTAAATAAGTTAGGCGGAAGGTATCGGCACGTCTCGATGACTAGGCATGTACATCTCCATCGACATTTAAACCAAAGTGTACATATAGGCGATCGCTATAGCATACTACCTCCGTTCTGAAAAAGATAACCATTTCAAATTATATTACAGCCTACCCAAAACAATACCCCCTCTATGCCGATCACTTTTTGGATTTCGAATCTCCCGCGCTTCCCCGACCAGACTGGCTCCCGCGCCCAGCTTTCATTTTGAAAGCTGGCACCTGGGGGAGATCACAGACAGTGAGCGCCAGGCCGTTCGGGAGACCTTACTGCTTCGCAGCGTAGGAGGAGTGCTCAAGCATGGAGAGATCGTTCGGGCTGCAGCGTACTTCCGTGTGGGCCGCCAAGTTGACGAACGAATTTGGAGGCGTGGAATCAATTCGATGGGAGATCGAGTAGCAGCCGTGGTCAAGTCAAGGAAGAGCGCATGTGGTAGGAAGAAGGTGGATCGAGCTGCGCTGGGCGAGAGAATCGCTGCAGTTCCTGTCAATGAGCGCGAAAACCAGCGTCTGCTTCAGCGCGCGTCCAACATGAGCTGCTACCTGGTGATCAAGGAAGGCTACATACGGCGTGCGCTGACCCGTCCACTACTTACACGCACGCACAAGTTGGCGCGCCTCCGGCACAAGGACAAGCAAGTACGAGCTGGCACTCTCCCTACGTCACTGCCTTGTGACGCTATCACACTTGCCAATGCTAACGCGTACATGCTGCGAGCAGCACCCCACCGCCTACCGCTGAAGTTCCAGAAGCCCCACTGAGCGCCCCTTCAGAATGTGGCGATGTAGTTGCCGTCTTAGATCCGTTTTTGTATCTGTAGTTGCACGGCGGAGCATGAACGCCTGTGCCTTGCTTAGTTTCTCACTGTCAGCTCTCGGTCATAAAGCTAGCTAGCCAGCCTCTCACAAATTAATAAACGCTCAAATGAACGAGGCGGAGCGCCGCGCAAAAAAAAAACAAATGGTTATCTTTTTCCGAGCGGAGGTAGTAGGTCTTATGTCCTTGACTTTATTATCCGTCCGATCATCCGTGGTCGTAGCCGCTGCGCGGTGCAACGTTTGACCGAGCATCGAAAGACTTGAAATCTGTATTGTATCGTATGATACGTATCAAGGTGGTACATATATGGAATCAAAAATGGCTTCAGCTGTACATGACTACAGTACTGTTACTGTAAAGGGTTAAGAATTCTAACTGGATCCATTGAATCATTCCTCAATGAGGACGTCTACCGACTTCGGTCCAACCGAATTCTGTCGAATTCGTTTACAAGTATGTTCATGTACATGCATGTGCTCACAAGGCAGATCGCGTCGCAAAGAACCTGCACGAATGAGTCAGACGGGGACCCCTTGCCCACTTGACCGCTTTCCCGAGTCGGGAATCCCGACTACAGATAGGGAATTCCTTCCTCGGCCTGTGTGGCGACGATGCTGAATGAAATGCTGCCGGGAGTGGCGTGCTGCCGCGCAATTCTTCCTAGCAGCCATTACTACATGTAGTAGCGATGTAAGTTGGAAATTCCAACTTGGAATCCAGCTTGGATAGATATCGCAGGTGGGAATGTGGCCAATGGCCTTAGTGAAGTACATGAACTGCATTGTGCTGCTTATCGAGCCCGTCAAGAGGTACTCGCCGCTAAAGTGCGTGTGTTGGATCTCCGTAGCCTTCGTTTGGCGTCTACAGGAGTCACTCGATCGGCTCTTTCTACATGTGGTGCGTTTCTAGCTGATGAATCGACATGCACTCCTGGAAAACCAGTCGCTGTAGTTCCTCTTTGGGCATCTCAACGCCCAAGTCTAGCGACTCGCGTTCGAAGTCAAAGTTGAAAGGCTGGGTGCACACGGGTTCGTCCGCCTTCAGAGTAAAACACACAAGTCAGTTAAGAACCCAAAATCAGTTTTTTATCGTCGTAATAACACACATCCACGTACGGGGTTTTGAAGTTGCGCCAAGTACGGATGTGCTAGTGCCTGCACGACGGAAATACGCTCCGCTGGATTAAACTTGAGCATCTGAGACAGCAAGTCAACTGCCAATGGGTTCGCATCCGGGAAGAACTCGATCAACGGACGCTACAGCAGTCAACACGTTTGGGTCAAATCAGCTTAAAAGAACCCAATAAAATGTCGACTTCGACAAGTACCTTTGGGTAAAATCCATGCTGCAAGATAGCTCGCTTTGCAGCTTCATGCGGCACAAAGGCCATTTCCTCCTCAGTAGGTGATCCTAGCACACGAATGATCATGTGTAGTTGATCGGACGGGTCTCGTCCTGTGAAGAATGGTCGACGACGAAGCATTTCGGCGAAGATGCAGCCGACGGCCCAGACGTCCACTGCGTCGTTGTAGTTCTGACAGTCTGTGAGTAGTTCTGGCGCTCGGTACCAGCGCGTGACGACGTACTCGGTCAGATCTTCGTTATGCGCCGTCTCCACTCCTCGTGCCAGTCCGAAGTCACAAATGGACAAGTCGCAATTGGAGTTCACCAGCAGGTTTGACGGCTTGAGATCGCGGTGCAGCACGTTCCCGGAGTGCACAAACTTCATACCACGTAAGATCTGGTACAAAAAGTACTGGAAGTGTGCGTCTGAAAGAGGCTGCGACGAGCTGATGATCCGCTCCAGGTCGCTCTCCATGAGATCCGTGACGATGTAGATGTCATGGAAGTCCATGACGTTGGGCGGTATCAAAATCACGTCCAGAATCTGAGCAAAATAGTCCGTTAGTCGACAAAATTCGCTATTCTTTGCTCAATTTGTACGACGAATTGCATGGCATCGTACGTTGATGACGTTTTCGTGCACTCCGAGGTGTCGGAGCAGCTTCATCTCGCGCAAAATGCGCTTGGCATCGGTGAGGTCGTCGAACACATCTGTGATCTTTTTTATGGCGACTTTGCGTCCTCGAAGCTGCAATATTTAGATAATAATAATTAGATCCGAATCTTTGGGATGCCGCGAAAGAGTGCAATGATACCGTGTCTTCGGCGGAGCAGACGATGCCATACGAGCCACCGCCAACGGGGCGCAAATTTGCGTAGTGTGAGCGGACTTCGAAGACATCTCGCGATACGGTGACGCAGTGGAAGTCCGGGCCGTAGCGGGACGGCTCGACCGACATGATGGTGGAATACAGGAAGGAGACTGTTTAGGAACCTTTCAAGATACCTCTGTACGAATTAAGAGACACCCCTTCTAACCGGCTTGTTCAAACTAAAATACAGTAAAAGAGCATTTTTGTAAGGCTGGATACCGGTATTATGTGGAAATGGCTTCAATATATTGGTGTCTGGAGTTGTAGGACAACGTCGGTCTTCGAGTCTGTGTGCTCCGTTGGTATCTAGGTTACCACCTCTGGTTGGGGTTCCGCTGCTGCTGAGATTGCTGTTGTTGCTGCCCCATACCCTGCCACTGAAGCCCCTGGAAGCTATTCTGCTGCTGTTGCTGTTGCTGTTGCATGCCTCCCTGTGGTTGACCCATAGCCATGTGCATCTGGCTAATGTTCATGGCGCTAGGACCTCGAGGACCCATCGACGAGGGACCACCAGACCCCATCGGGTTGAAACCTCCCTGGGCACCGTATGCCCCTCCATGATTTCCCATAGTAGTCGGCGACATACCCCGAGGTGCATTGGTCGCCGTCAAGTTGGCAGATATCGGTGTAGGTCGCATGGGGGCCGTGTTGTTGCCAGCGAAGACATCGAATGGGTCGCGTGCTGCCTGAGGTGGAGCGGGGCTCTTCTGCTAAGAGTTGCAAGTGGAGAAGTGAGTTACGATTAAATAAAAAAAAATTAAGATAAATAAAGCACAAAACACACCGGTGGGACTGGTGAGGGGGCTGAAGGAGCCTGTGGAGTCGGTGACGGTACTGGATCTGCCATCTGTAAAATGAAATAAAATAAAAATAATAAATAAATAAATACAAATGTTTTCATGTAAGAAAATAAACACGAATAACTTCACCCACCAGTCCAACTAGATCGTCGTTGAAAGTCTTTTGCACAGCTTGGGGTTCTTCTCGCTTGGCTATTGTATTGTACAAACATGAACAGTTTAGAATTCCTCTCAATATTAACATCCCGGTAAAAAAAATTCCCATACTGGGAGACGGTGGGGGCTCCGACGTCTCGATGAGGTCTGGTGCTTCCACTTGGGCCTTAAATGCCTCCGTCCTCTCCGGTGGACGGGTCGAGCTTTCACGCTGCACTCTAGAAATCTTGCAGACGACGAGTCCATTGAAGTCTGGCACAGGGTCGGCGTCATTCACAACGTCCAGCCACACTACAAGATATCACAGCACACTTGAACTTCTTTTCCTCCCAACTGTCCATATTAGCTCCGACACGCACCATATGTGCCCTCAAACGCCGTCTTAAAGCGGAAGTGAAAGTCGCCGGGCAACGGGAAGCTCTGCACACAATATGAGAAAATCTCTCCTTCATTTCGAGATCAGCAGCCATCAAGCGCACCTTCTTGACGTGTTGTAGGCGCAGCTGATCCACACGCGGCAGCGGAACAACGTTGAGGTGATCGGACGAGTCTCCGTCCTCAGGCACGAAGTAGTTAAGCATCCCCTCCATGGTCGATGCAGCGCTTGCGAGGTCGGGCTGTTTCGTGCACCTTCTTAAAAAACGGTATTCAAACCGGTTGCAAAACATTTTTTTACCTTACCGGTAAACCTTAAGTTTTTCACTTATTTTCAGAGTAGTAAGAAAACCGGTACTGTCATTTGGTAACTTTTTGACCTGAAAATGACGCACGACAATGAGGAGCCCAAGCCCAAGCAGGTGAACACTGACGCGCTGCAGGCGGCGATGGACGAGCGCGCGCAACAACGACAGGAGGCTCAGAGTGAGAGCAAAGAAGATGACAATGAAGAGGAAAGAGAAGTGGTGACGCTCTCGAGCTGTGTGGATCTCAACGACGTGCAGGACGACGAACTCTACTACGTGGGCACGGCAGGAGTGAAGATTACGGAGCTAGACGGGCTGGGGAGCCTGCCAAACCTTATGAGGCTCCATGTCCGCTCTAACCTTCTTCAGTCTATGGCAAGCGTAGCGTCTCTAGTGCACCTGGAGCACCTGGAGCTATACGATAACCAAATCCAGACGCTCGAAGGTGTGCAGAACCTCGTGAACCTCAAGGTGTTGGACCTGTCGTTCAACGAGATCCGCGTAATCCCCGACCTGAACCATCTCACGAAGCTTGAGGAGCTCTATGTGGCCAACAACAAGCTCAAGAAGATCTCAGGTATTGAAACCTTGACGACACTGAAGAAACTAGATCTTGGAGCGAATAGATTGCGGACAATTGAGGGTCTGGATGGCTTGACAGAGCTGAAGGAACTGTGGCTTGGTAAAAACAAGATCACTACTATCCAAGGACTGGAGAAACTGGCCAAGCTGAAGATCATCAGTGTGCAGAGCAACCGTGTCGTGAAGATTTCAGGCTTTGCGACCAACTTCGAGTTGGAAGAACTGTACCTCAGTCATAACGGTATCGAGAAGATCGAGAATGTGGACCACTTGGTAAGACGCTGCATTGATTTTTGACGTACTAGTGCGTGTTTGCTTAGTTGTCTTCTTTTATCTCTATAGACACACCTGACGACGATGGATTTTGCGGGAAACCGTATCACCAACATCCCGACAACTCTGGCGGCGCTAACGCAACTGGAGGATCTGTGGCTGAACGATAACCAGATTGCGCAATATGCTGACGTGGAACACCTTATGTCGCTGTCGGGACTACGTACGCTCTACCTGGAGCGTAACCCACTGGCTCAAGACTTTGAATACCGAAAGAAATTAGAGGAGCTGCTACCGGAACTCGATCAGATTGACGCTACACCGACGACCAAGGCGAGACAAGGACGCAGATAAAGGCGTAGCTCACGCCTATCATGTCGAAGTTGAGTCGACTTCTTTAGTGAGTTTTGCCTTGGCCAAATGCAAATACTTTTGCCACGGTTTTAGTACTTCTTCGGTACCGGTAGTTTCTTGTTTGTCCTGTTGTATACTGAGTGTGAATGGCTTACCGTTGGTGACATAAATCTTTGCTGGTGGTGGGTAGATACTACAGCTGATGACGATGCAGACCACGCACCTACAACCATCCATGAGCCGCAATGCACACATCTCTGGCCTCTGAACTTGCCCTTGTAGACTGGAATCGCCATGATACTGGCTACTCCAAGGACAGCGAGCACAGTCGGGACTACCCAAGCGGTGGCACGTTCCTGAGCGATAGGGATCGATCGGAGGTGAAGCACCTCACTGAAAATTACAGGGGGGTCCTCGCTCTCCGTAATACTGACCGAACACTGTACTACGCTACGCCAAAACTCCGCGCCGAAATTCAAGGAACGTTCAATAACGACCAATTCCAGTTTGTAGCCACTCAGATATGTCGACACGTTACGCGAAGGCATAATACACTCAATGGTCGCATCGTCATCAAGCGTGTTGCGTCGTGCGAAGCGATACGTTCGTCGACCTTTACTCACGCTAAGTCGTTGGACGTCATTAAGCGGACACGACAAATTCCACGTTTCGTCAGCTCCGGTAAGCGGCACCGGGTTCGTACAGCACTGTAAGCAATACTGCTGGTTGGTCAAATGCGGATCTGTAAACTGGGTCTCGAAAGTATAAGCCTTATGAAATCCTGCACTTGCGTTCAGATCTTTGCAGCCATTGAGTGCGAACCCAGCGTAACATTGCTGAAGAAGCGTCGCCACAGTTGTCGTAGTGTCTAGCGACTGAATAGCACCATAAATCCCATACGAAGCCTATTAAATAAAAATAAATAAATAATTCTTACGTCTAGCTCATAAACCGTAGTCAAGTTCACCTTGCTCGAAGAAGCAGACAAGAATTCAACGACGCAACCTGCACACAGCACCAAGCAGAGCGTGACGTCTCGCATTTTCCTTGTTCTCCAACTAAAAATACAAATTTGAACTACTAAAAAAAAATACTACAGTAGTTGCCATAACCACCTCAAAACAGTACTCGCCGTAACCATCTCAAAATGCACATTAAAGTCGCGCATGTTTTCTATGTATTCGGACCAAGCGCGTTTACTGAGGCGACGACAGGGAAAATAAACGTCCGACTGGCTGCCAATTGATATTTTCACATCCACCACGGCTCTCCCTCTCCTCACAATAACAAGACGAACTCCCCTCATTCATGTTTCCGCCATCGCTCCCTCTCGCTACAGCCCCCCTCCGCTAATACCCTTTGCGTTTTTCTCTCGGGTCGTTGGCGAGCTTGCGGCTAGCACCATGGCGCCTTCTTTTGGTGATGACTTCTTCACGTCTGAGCCGACTAAATCTAAGTAAGCACTCGACAGCTTCAACGGACACCGACACACCAGCACTCGCTCACACGCTGCGCTAGGTTTTCTCTACTACGACAGCCCTGTCGCTGTCATGGCCGTCGTGTCCGTTGCTGCTGTCGACGGTGCCGCTGATTGTAAATAGCTTGCCGGGATCAGCTCGTCTACAGGCACTGACGATGCAGCTTCGGAGTTTACAGACGCTCCGGACGGCGGAGGCGAAGGCTCTTCATCCGATCCATCGACTGGGAGACCCACAGCTTGGTCAAATTCCACGAGCATAGTCGAGGGGTTCTGCATCGTCGTCTCTCCTAGCAATCGCAGGTTTTCGTCCAATGCGGTCGACGAGCCATTGGCGTCGCTCAGCACAGCGCTCTCTCCATTCTGCTGGCGAGCGATAGCTGCTCGCTGCTTGTCAAACTCCTCCATTTTCTTTCGAAACCGCTCTACTTCACGCTGATGTTTCTCCTCCTCACTTCGGATTGCCGCTTCAAGAGACGATTCCTGCTCGTTGAACGATGTCCGCGCGATTTTTAACCGATCTTCCAGTTGATGAATCTGCTGGACGTACGACGGATCAGCGATCGATCCCAATGACACGCCACGTGCCTGCATCTCCAAGATATTCAGCAAGGCTTCCTTGGTGAGTGTTGACTCGCTTGCGGTATGTGGGAGACCAGGACGCGGTGGTGATCGAGCCACGTCGTTGCTGGGGAACGAGGGAAGAGCGCTTGTACTACTACTGCTATTCACTGGCATGCTGCCATCCAGCACCATCAACGTGGACGATGGGTCCTTCAGACTCGCAGTATTCGGCGCCTCTTGTGAGCCAGGTATCACCAGCTCCGGAGCTACACTAGCTGGCGTAGAAGCAGTCGTCCCACTGGTCCCCAACACGCTCTGAAGCACCAAAGCTGGCACTGCTGAAGTTGACACATTCGAAGCACTCTGGGAGCGTTCTAAGCCAGCTGCACCCATCATATAAGCTTGCGGTTGATACGCTCCCGGAGGCACGTGCACGAACGACATCTTGGATACATTCGGGAACGGCTTGGACGAGAACGAATGAGGCTCGGGGGCCTCTTCCCACACGTCTTCCTGCACATCCGACAGGTTGTTGATCTTGCCCTCCGTCACCAAAAAACGGATCGAATCCGCAATATCTTCCAGATCCGGTTCCAGGATTCCCACGTCCACCGCCAGCTCGCACGCCACTTCGTGCGGACTATCCGCGAATAAATTGAACGGGAACTTGATCTCCTTGGACTTGCCGTCGATCATGATGCGTAGATTCAGTAGGATACTGTGTTCATTGTCAGGGTCTTTGGCAGCCTTGATGTCATGTCGCTTTACGCGCTTCCGAGCGGTAGCGTTGGCCGTGCTGGACGCCGGTGGAGTAGTCGGAGGCGGCTGAACGGGTACAGACGCTTTAGGTTCCAATGCAGCCGCCAATGCCGCAGCTACAGCAGGGTCGGAAGGTGCGTGGATACTCGCGCGCCGGACGAGATTCGTCTGCGGCTCCACGACAGGTTCGGGGAGCTGCATCGACGGCACTGGAGCTAGAGGCGCTTGAGACGGCGTCAGAAGCCCTGGAGCGGAGTTAGGAGGCTCAACTTTGGGCACATCGACAGCCAACGCTGACGGTTCTCCAGTGAACGACTGCGAGTGCTCCGGCGTCTCTTTCCCATTGGCTACTGGAGAGTCAACAGGACTCTCCGCATACTCTGGGATTCGTGTCGTTCTCGAGATCCAAGCGTTGTCCTCTACCGCCCATGATGTTTATCCGCGTGTTCTGAATGGCACTCTCGGTACCAGGCAAGGTCGCGAGGAATTGATCCACATGAGCATCAGCGCTCTTCTTCCCAGACGACAAAGGCTCATCAGCGACAACCATCTCGCTGATAACAGGCTGAGACGGCGAGTGCGTCATCGTGGCACTGGCTCTGGTGGTTGCAGTCGACGGTTGAGCTGACTGACGCAGGAACTGGCACAACGTCATCCGTAGGCACTGCGATCTGTCACTGGAGAAGGCGGTTGAGTGATACTGTCACGTGCTGGAGCTCCAGCTGGCGGTATCTGGACTAATCCAGGTGTTCCGATTGTCTTCTCCTCAGCAGTTGCAATGATACTACCGCCACTACCTGGAGCCGACGTGCTACCACTCGCCGAAGACGCAGCAGACATGTCTTCCGGCTCTAAAGACAGCGACGGGAACTGTTTACGTCGCTCAGTCACCACCACAACCGCGCCGTCTTTCGACCCGCTCTCCATGTTAAACTCGACCGCAAATGACTCCTCCGCCACCCTCTCCAACCGCTGCTGTTCTTCCTTGCTTTCTCGCTCCAACGCGTCTTCATCCAGACACTCCACCATGTCGTTATCATCGTCTTGCGCCTTTAGAAACGGGTGATCCAACAGATACTGCGCCGTGACGTCCACCAGACCATTTCCACGTGACAAGCACAACTCAATAAAGTCGCGTGCAGCCTGACTAACCACACGTTGCAGTCCCTTTGGTCGAATCCCCGCCGTCACCTTCTTGTAGATCTGTGCTGGATTGATACACTCGGAATACGGCACCTCCTTGGTCACCATCTCCAGTACACACATGCCAAAGGCGTACACGTCCACTTTTTCATCGTAACTCTCGTCATACAGCTCCGGCGCCATGAATTCCGGCGTCCCTAGCACACTCTGAGCCTTGGATCTCTTGTCCACAGCCAGCTGCGTGGACAATCCCAAGTCTCCGATACGTAGATCGCCTGTATTTCCATTCACAAAGATGTTATCGCACTTGAGATCTCGGTGGATCACCGGCGGGTTCTGACTGTGCAGATAGTGCAGGCCTTCGAGGATCTGGATGCACCAGCGCTTGATGATCTTCCACTTGATGAACTGCACACGTTTGATATACGACTTGAGCGTCCCGGACGTCATGATCTCTGTGATGAACACGACCTGGTTCTTCTCCTTGGAGAACCACGAGCCGTAGAAGTTGATGATGTTCTTGTGCTCGAGCTTCTGCAGCAGCTGCACCTCCTGGATGATGCGCGTCTTCTCCGTACTAGGTAAGAGACCAATGTCGATGGCATTCCACGCCACGTCGATGCCCTGGTCCGTGTCATACGCCTTGTACACGGACTTGTAGGCGCCTGTGCCCAAGCGGATGTCAAAGCGGATGTAGCGGCCTCGGGGCGAGTGCTCCATGGGGCGGTCGCCTTCCTCTCGCATGTACACGTCGCTCTCCTCCATTTCTAACGTTGAAATGCCTAGATTAAGCTCGGAAAAAGCAGTTTCTACTCTTTCTAAAGCTCCCACGAGGCTTTAAAGACCGCAGAAAAGAAGATTAAGGCTCAGTAGAGCTCTGTAATTCCTTCTGCAGTGCTGTGAGTAGCTGAAGAGAACGAAAAACGCAATTCCGCGGCCTTGACAGTGGATAGACAGACTTGAATGCGCTGTAGCGACGCTTACCGAGCACGGATGGAGATCGTACCAGCCTCAGAAGAAGCCCCTGTTCAAGACGAACACGGGGAGCTACCTAGCGCTACTGTGGAGGACCGCTGGGACGCTCGAGACGCTCGAGACGACTCGCTGCCTATGCCGCTTGGGTCTTCGCTCTTCGCTGTGTCCGCGCGCGCTGTTGGTCTTCGATCGGGGCCCTGATTAAACTTGTGATTTGTAAGGAACATACAAAACAGATGTGCTCATGAGGTTTTGAGGTTTTTGAAAGTAAAGCAGAGATTCATGTATTGTGGTTTTCATAAAGCGGATGATCCGAGATCCACTATATCGGATCCGATTTGCTGAGCGCCGTCGAAATAGAAAGTAGGGGTAAGGTAAGATTGCTATCTCGGGGCCGGATATGTCGATGGGCACCTCAGATTAAAGGGAAAGTGCCAGAATTGCCGTCTTTGGACGGCATAAGTGATCTGCCCAAACTCATTTGCTAGAACACTTCCAGTCTAACCGCCATAGGAGAATTATAGCACCCTTTTACTCGGCAATCGCGCTACAGTATGCATACGTTTAGTGTTTACCTCTTCCTCAATAAGTAAAACTGAGTTGTGGGTGGTAAGGTCGTCTGGAGATGACGTCGCCCTCGTCATTAAGACCTTAAGTAGGGTCACATATAGCTAATTCAAGCCTTATTACCCTACACCCTGCCCAATTTATTTAAATCGGGCCCCGAGATAACACAGCAAATCGGGCGGCAAAATTGATGAAAACCACAATACTACAACCGTCTTACCCCGCATCAACCGCCTAGGCTTTCAGTTCGAATTGTTTTGCTGGGTCGAAATGCATGGCACCCTCGAGTACACCTAACAGTACCAGCAGCAGATGCTACTACAACACCCCTAAAATAGTGGATTTTAAATGTCCTCCACCCATTCTATTGTGCTGTCCATTGCTTCTCGACGCTGCAGCAGTATACTGTTTGTTAAACATTTTCAAACTGCCAATTTAGACTATAATGGTCACACTGAAGAAACGCAGCCTAAAGGTCAAGCTGGACGTCGCCTTAGAATACAAGGACAGCGTCAAGGGACGCGGCTACCATGCATTGACGAAGAAGCACAAACTTTCTGGTCCGTGGGTAGGTCAAGGCGATCGACGACTTAAAGGCTGCATCACGAGACCGTCAAAGTGCGACTCGAGCGCTTCGTCGACTACCAGGAGCAGGACGTGTTAAAAGTCGACCGCCTGGTCGATCGCGCCACGCGCTTCTGAGGGTAAGTACGCAAAAGAGAGAGTGAGATTGTATCCGCAATTACCAGCCACTAACTTATCCGACCATCACTCCTACAGCTCGCAGCTGACGGCGCACACCAGATCCTGGTCCGGATCCTCCTTCTTCAACACTCCTCCTCGCCGACGCTGGCAAACTGCAGCTCCGGTCTACGGTTCTCGTCACCCCGCGCTAGCGCCCTCGTCTTTCAGTGCAACCCGACTTCGGCTCTGAGCTCCATTTGTCTTGGTGCCTCCACAGCCTTCGTCATCAAGTCCGCGGGCATGCGCCCAGTCTCGCGATACTCCGGCTTCAGCACACCTTTCTTCGTGTAGCAACCTACGAGCCTAATCCGCACATCTATGTGCTTCGCCTTAGCCGACGAGCCTTCTCCATCGAGCTGCTTGAGTGCTGCCTGATTGTCGCACCTCAACGCCATCGGCGTCACGTGCTCAACCTTCAATTCGCCCAGCAACTCTCGGATCCCCAGCAGCTCCGTAGCCATCACCGACGCTGCCGTGAACTCGGCCTCCATCGTAGACAAGGACACGCCCCCTTGCTTCCTGCAAGTCCAGCTGATCGGCATTCCGTCCATCGCTACCTGGCCATCAGTGACTGACTTGCGATCTTCCTTGTCAGCCGCGTAGTCCGCATCCGTGTACGCTACCACCTCGAGCAACTCGTCCGGCTCTTTATATCCACTCATGCGGAGGCGCAGCTCCTTCGTGCCGACCGAATACCGCATGATCCTTTTCGCCAACTTCCAGTCGACAACCGTCGGTCTGTGCGTGCGCCTCGACACCTTGTGCACCGCAAAGGCCACGTTCGGCCGCGTACAACGCGCAATCCACATCAGGCTGCCGACCAAGGACTGAAACTTCTTCACCGTCACCACCTCGTCTCCTCCTGAGACAGGTAAAGCCGCGCCTTCAGACGCTTGAATTTCGTTCCATTCCACTCCGATCGGTGTACGCATGCCGTGCACCTTCTCCATGCTGTGCGCTTTCAACATGTCGATGATCGTCACCTCTTGGTCCAAGTCATAGCCCTCCGACTCCGTGTAGCTCACCCTCATGCCCAAGAACTTACTTGCTATCCCTAGATCCTTCACGGGCAGCACAGCCAGCTCCTGGAAGAACGAGTTCACTTCCTTCTGCTCCGTGCCCGTAACCAACAGGTCGTCCACGTAGACGCCCACAACCAGTAAAGCCGTTCCTCGTCTCCTAAAGTATAGACACATGTCGGTAAGGCTCTGTTCGAAACCGATCTCCACCATCTTCTTGTGCAACAACTTGCTCCACAGTCGTCCAGCTTGCTTGAGCCCATAGAGAGCCTTCCTTAGCTCGAGTACCAGCTCACCGTCATCTGTGACGCCGAGCTGTTTCTTCAGCTCCTCCGGGATGGTCATCCCTTGGGCAAGTGGATGTAGATGTCCAGCTCGGCCTCCTTGTCCGCCTTCACATAGGCGTTGGGCACGTCCCCGTGCTTGGCCGGTACCCGCCACTTTCTGGCCAGCGCGAATATCAGTTTGACACTGGTCATGTCAATGACAGCCGCGAAGGTGATGCTATAGCTAACGCCGAATCCCTGTTCGTTCCCACAGGCTACGAGTCGCGCCTTCAGGCGCTCGATGGCCCCTTCGGCATCTTTTTTGGTTTTAAATACTCATTTTGTGTGAAGTACGCGCACCCCACGGGGCAACCGCACCAGCTTCCACACCCCATTCGCCTCCAGAGCCCTCAGCTCTTCGTCCATTGCCTTCACCCACTGATCCCTGCGACGACTACGCATAGCCTCGCGATAGCTCCTTGGATCCACCTCCAGCACGTTGTTCACGACATCCTTGTCAGCCTCCTCCTGCTGTGATGATCCGCCCGTCTTCTCAGCCTCTCGCTTGCCTACCGACCGCGTTACAGGACGCTCCCGGTTCCAGGCCTTCTTTGTTATTCTCTTGCTGGGCTTGTGAGCGCTATCAGTCGGGACTTCGCCTGTCGTCTTAGCACTGCTCGCGATCGCAGCCGCGCTTCCCGTACTTGTTCCAGCCCTCAGGCGTACAGCCATCTCCTCGGTCTCTGCCGTATCGTCGTGAAGGTACAGCCTCTGCACGTTCTCGTTCTGTTTCTTGTCCAGCGTCTCAATGTTCCTTACATGTTGTGTGGTGATGACCACCTTGTCTTTCGGCAGGTACACGCGGTACCATTTGGTCTCTTCACCGATCCCCACGACCATTCCCTGCTGCGCACGCTGCGCGAAGTTCTTCTTCCTCGGGTCCCTGTAGACCGTACGAGGCCACACCTGGAACGCCTGTTGAATGTCTGCTGTTGTCTTAGTTTCTATCCAGTCGAGAATCCATTTAGAAGCAGAAGGTAGCTGGGAACTTTGAGATTGCCTGCTTTCGTCTGGAGACTGGTATCCTCGAGAGCACTCTCAATGTATGTGTAGCATTTTATCGGAATAAAAGGCCTGAAAGCTTCTGTTAATAGAAATATCGAGAGGTTGCAACATGCTGGTCAGATTGGGCGGCACCAGCAACACGTAAATGTTGTGGAGCACTATACGCTGCTCGTCGAACAGCTTGACGTGGCAAGCGTTGGAACCAATACCGTACAAGACAGGTCCTTGTAAAACTTCGTTTGTTTTCTGCTACGATAACGTTGTTGGTGTGCTCCACTAAGATGACATCGCTCCACATACTGGTGGAGTTGACGTCCACCAATACACCATCGGCAACTCGAGGTTTCTTCTTCAACTTGGAAAAAGAACGTGAGGTTTTAAAATTTCTTCCAGCCATAAAGAACACTTGTGGCTGCTACCGCCCTTGCGAAGTATCACATCTCTGCTGCCTCTTGTGGTAATGGCTCTCTTTGGCTCAATTTCAAAGTACCGAGACACTAGATCTATGTTGAGCACGCTACATGGTTTGATATTGTGCTGCTCAATCAATTGTGCGCTTTCTGAATGAGCTGTGTACAAATGTCTTTTGCGCCGGCCAATAGCGTTCTCGTGGTGGTATGGCGTCGAGAAACGAGGTTTAATCTGTCTTTGAACCTCCAGAAGAGATATGGAACAGTTCTTCAGTTAAAGTTGTTGTTTTTAGCTGCAACCGCCGGTAGATATTGAGTTCCTGTAGCCGGATGTGTTTATCCTTTACGCGGAGACCATTTTTGTTTCTGTCTGTGACCCAGGTGTGTAATTCCTCCTTTAGGACGAGGTGATGGGCTTAACGTCGTGTTAAAGAAGGAGGATTCGGACCAGGATCTGGTGTGCGCCGTCAGCTGCGAACTGTAGGAGTGATGGTCAGATAAGTTAGTGGCTGGTAATTGCGGATACAATCTCACTCTCGCTTTTGCGTACTTACCCTCAGAAGCGCGTGGCGCGATCGACCAGGCGGTCGACTTTTAAGAGGTTTTGAGCCCTATGAACACAGCCACAGACAAGGCTGCTCGTGACGGCGCGTCAGCGCCAACACCAGAGCCCGACGCCGGTACCACACGGACTGGCATGGCGAATGTCGCTGAAGAGAAGAGCACCGCTGCCGCCCACGAAAGGAGCGACGGCAACAACTTCGGCGGAAACCTCATGGACGCTGGGGATAACGCAGCAGAGATGATGGCACTGCTGCGTGGCGTCGCTGGGAGGCTGGATCGACTCGAGGAGTCGCAGTCGAAGCTTGAGAAGAAGCTCGAGGGTGACGAGGGAAAGCGTGCGCGCGACGCCCACCAGCCAACGACGCCAGCCATGAACGTCAGCTTGCTCGACTCGGGACTGGGACGAGGCAACCCCATGCACATCGACTACCTTGAGGGCTCACCGCAGACGCCGCTCACGGGCACGCCTCGCAGACCGACAGCTATGCCACAGTTCTTCGGACAGCACGCGCAGCAGC